TATGTATGTATGTATGTAGGCATGTATGTGTATGTATGTTTACGCCATAAGTTCCACAGTCTTCACTGGTGAGCGCATGAATCCAGTTTTTTGCAGGGAACGCTGGGCATCGGAGGAAGCTCAAGCCTTTGTATCAAAAACTGAAGACCTAGCATATGCTTACTGGCCACCAGTTGCAAGCCCATTACTGCTTTATAACATCGTGACTTCCGATTTTGTGCAGTGCTTGCTAAGCCCCCAAGTCGACAGTCAAAAAATCAGCATCTGCGTGAGGATGGCCCGGACTGTGCCTCGCCGTCCTCGGGGTCGACAGCAAAGGATGCAAAGGACTGCATCAAACCGAAGCTCTGAGCAGGGTGCAGACCATGACCTGTGGCACAAGGATACCTTGGCTACCTAAGCTACGTCCCCTTTAGCTAACACTGTTGGCTGTGCTGCTGCCAGCAAGCTTAGACTAGCAAGCATCCTTTCTTGCAAGGTCTCAGTCATGGACACGGTGCCAATGAAAGCCTGCATTAGGAGGTTCGGTAGGTGAAAGTTGTGTCCTATGCTGGTAGGATAGCTTTGATTAAAACTTTCATTGGAATACCACTGGCCCTACGGAGAGCTTATCAAAATTTCATTGCCAACAAACCGCCAAGCAGGAGGAGGAGCCAGCATCTTCCATGCCAGAAGAGCAGCTGACCTGGCACTGCCTGTCGTAGGATCCCCCTTTCAAAAGGTTGTGTAAGGATTGCATAGAGGAAGTTTTGATGGTCCCAAGAGTTGTTCAACTTTGCGCTATCAATTTTCATGGGCCCATTATCCCCTACAAAAGGATTTCCTCCAAGCATAAAGCCCATGACATGCAAGCCAGTCATTGCACATTGTCATGGGGTAGCGCACTGCATGGCTTTCGAATTGCATCTATTGAGTGGATGTTCCTGGCATCTAGGGCCCGTTTGTTGGCTCCGAAACACAGGGTCCCCACTAGATTCTCCGATGAACGCTCACAAGGCCGGCAGATGCGTATGCATATGGTGGTCTCGGTCAGGCTCATTTCGTTGCAGTTGCTCTTGCTGCTTCACTGTTGCACTGTTCAGGGTAGCTTAAGGTAGAGTTGCAGCTCCCCCCGCACTTTCCAAAAAAGTACATACGCTAGGTAGAAAAGGCCAGGAAGTACGATGCAGATGAGACAAGGGCATGAAGTTGTATACGGTCTTCCAGACCTTCAATCCTAACGTAAGGATTCAGGGCCTTGCCGCTTTGAGCACGAGCACCTCTTGAGTTGTACAAGAAAGAGGGGGGGGTCCCATGTTGCACGCCTACCCCGAATTTTCTACTTTGCAAGCCTTTAACGCAGTTCTGCGAGTGACAGTGCAGGTTTCCGGGGGCACCCTCGACAATCCTCACTAAAGCATTAGGACGGATTTGATTATCCAGTTATAACGCTTGCAAAAAGGGTGTTTCAATTTTTTGAGCAAGTGCTTCACCGAGGTAGCTGCCATAGGGTTTTGCTAAGCCAGTTCAAGCTATTGTACAGTTACAATATAGGGGTCGCTTATGCATGGGTTAAAGTGGAGGGGTCAGGCCGGGGGTTAATTTTTTCACCTGAATTCCACCCTGGTTTTAACCCTGACACAGTCTTGGCTTGCATCTTGAGTTTTACCCCATGAGTTTGTGGTTGCCTGAAAGATGTGAGAGATTCAAGGCAGGCTCTAATTGGTCTGATTGATCTCATGTGAAGATTTGTATGGGAATTAAAAAATTGGAAAGGAGAAACAACCTAAATGATCCGGAGATATGTGAAACATCTACAGATTTTTCGTTCCTGCGCGTAGATGTCGGATTCATCAGATGCAGAGGATGCAGATGGGTTGCCAGACTTCTGCTGGCAGCAGGGGCTGATTCAGAATGTGATTCCGTCAGATCTCAGGGCGCTGCTAGCTGGCGCGAGCCGGGGGTGCCTGTGTAAAGGCGAATGCCATTGCAAGGTATGGGATGCGCGGAGAGTTTCACCGAAGCTTGCTGTTCTCAAATCGGGCCGTAAAGGTTTTGGCCTTTTCTGCGCCGAGGATATCAAAGCAGGCAGGGGATACCCACATGATCCACATGTTAAAGCATATCCGAGGGCATGTATTCCCAGGCTCGGCCTGTAGGGGATGGACCAGGGCTCGAGGGCTTCAATTTCCAACTTGAAGGGGAGGTGGGTAGGAGGCTAGATCGCATCTACGAGAAAATTTGGGGTGAGTGGCAGGCAGCTTCATTGTGGAGTATGTGGGGGGGTTCCGTGCAGCGGACGATGCTACACCAGCTGGGGATCACACGCTGATTCTAGAATCCATTCCTGGACTTCAGCTGGATGCAGGCTGGGCATGGAGAGTGTGTGTGCGCTAAACGGCTAAGCGTGTATAGGAGTTCACATGGAGATAGTGGGAGGCAAGGGCAGCGGAAGCAGGGGTGGTTATTTTAGGGATGTATAGCCGCTGATGGGATTGTGTGAGCGCATGTGATGTTCGGCTGCTTGGCCTTGCGGAGGAGTGCGTGGTGGATTGGGGCGATTCATCAACCATGCCTGCAATCCAAATTCTTTCCTGGTGGAGCGAGTTTGTGCCGTGGACAGCGAGCCAAAACTTTCCATTCCACGTGTAGCAGTACCTTGCCTGATTGATCTGATTGCCGTTCTTCCGAAGCTGCTATTTGCGTTCATTGCTGCTGCTCTCAATCCATTGTACCCTTGAAAAAGAATAATCCATTGATGTAGCCTGCGATTTCAGGTCTTGGCACGGACCGACATTCCTGCTGGAAGCGAGGTGACCATCAAATACAATGAATTCAAGGCACGCGCGGCAATCAAGACTGCAGCGCTGTTAGTTTGCCAGCACTTTCGGCAGGGCGGGCCACGCTTTCAGAAGAAGCCGAAGCCATGTCTGTGTGGCAGCTACGAGCTGTGCGAGCCAGGTGAACGGTGTACCATGCGCATATGTGGGCGCCGCAAGACCGCGTCATACTTTTCAAATCGTGGGGCTTGTTGGGTAGCATCCTGCGTGCACAATGAAGTACATAAGTCGGTCTTTGCGTTCGGCAAATGGCGTGGTGATGGATGCGCACGAGGACTCGCAAAGGCAAGCTGATGCACACGGTCATGGGTCATTGGAGCCATGTTTCTTAGATTTCTTAGCGCTTCAATCCTTGTGGTCAGGCAGTGGAGAAGGAGCAGGGCAAATTTCTGAGGCGGGCACAGCGGGGGAATGCTGTGTCTCCGAGAAAACCAGAGAAGGAGGACCAGGGTCTTTCGTGGTAGATTTGGCGTGTTTTGCGAAATACTTTGATGGATTCCAGGATTCCACGCAATCATCTTTGCAGCGCGTGGAGTCTGGCGCTGCTACTGATGCTTGCGAGGCAGTTGTGTTCACTCTTGTAGTTGAGTAGTTGCAAGGCAGACTGCGTTCTCCTCGCTGTTCAGGTTTCAGCGTCATTGCCAATGGTCATGGAGGCTGACTCGAAGGAGCTGATCTTTCAGGTGCATTATGGTCACATGCATCGTTGACTCTTCTTGATGCGCTGGCTGAGGAGACGGGTCAGAATCAGGATGAGAATGCCTCCGCCGCTTCTTCGGAGGCCCGCTGGCTCTACCTCCTTTAACCCTCTTTGATCTGTTTGATGTGTCCAGCCCAGGTACCTTTGGATCCTTTGGTGGCTTCGCTAGCTCCGCCTTCTGAGGACGGAATTTGTTGTTGGCTTCAGGCATGTTCACCTGTGCGTCGTGCATATCGTGCTCTGCTCAGGACCAACTGAATTATCTGAATTCTGATGCACGGGATGCTGAGTCCTTGGAGAGTTTGGAGAAGCAGGAGCGTGTGGCCAGACCTCCGAAACATATCATGCCCTACATGCGACGTGTTCTGCTCAGGACCACGTCAAAGCTGATGGAGTGCAGGCGTGCGCAGACGCGTCAGATATCGCGGAAATGCAGCGCGAGATCCAGGACAGCCAGGCTTTACAGCTCTTCACCTTTATCATCTACTTTTTCGCTTGCAGCTCAGGAGCAAATGGAATCCGATGAAGTAGATGATTCTTCGGAGAAGGTGCGTGGTCAGGCATGTCAGGCCCCTTAAATCTTCATCCAGTGCGTGTGCCGCGTAGGACCCATTGCGTGCTGTCCAAGTTCATGAACGATCTGAAGCTGTGGATGCTTCGGAATCTGCCGAGGTTGAGGACGCCTTGTGAATATGTTGTTGCGATGCATTTCTTTCGCAAGACTTCCGATTTCGCATGCTCTACAGCGCCTGGGCTAGGACCAAGTGGACACTGCGGAGCCAGAGGATTCAGAGCCGCCGCTGCCGCCGCCGTCTGCTGCTCCCCCTTCCCAGGACCGTGTTGCTCCCTGTTTGTTTCTTGCGTTAGTCAGGAATTCGAGAGGATCGAAAGGTTGTTATTTCTTAGTTTGTTGTGGTGTTAGCAGCTTAGAAGATTTGTGCATGCAGTGCCAGGACTTTAGCCCTTCGCGCGCGGCGGCGCAGTCTATGCAGGCCTCTCCTGCGCACGGTTTAGGGTTTAGGGTTTAGTTTTAAGGTTTAGGGTTTAGGGCAGGGGTTTAGGGTTTAGGGTTTCCTCACCTTCTGTGTGGCGGTGCGGTGCAGTATTGCCCAGGAGATCCAGGAATCGTCAGCCGTTGGCGCTTTGGCTACCTTGACCGGTCTTCTGAATTCTTGCCAGGCCATCCAGACTTGCTTCGTTGGTCCAGCTTTTCTTGGTGCCTCTAAGATCTATAAGTCCTAGAAGTTCTTGTCATGTGCCGCACGCAGGTGGGTGATCAACTAGCTCCAGATGCGGATGCGGCGGCCCAGGCTGGCCTTTATCTGGCTTGCCACTTTCTTGAGCGCGGTTGCTTGACATGGCATTTTCATCAGACGCCTCTGCCGTAGCCAGTTTAGGATTCTGTGGGCACCTCGACAGAGAAGAACCCTCACGCCATGCTTGGGACGCAGAGCTTGTTCCTTGCCTGGGCCATGTTTCACATGCTTGAGGATCTTCAAGGGGCTCAGGGTGCGGGTGAGGACACTTTCACCGAGATTGGTGAAGAGTCTTGGTACAATCCAGAACTTGATCTGCCTGCGATCAACGCCTATCTGGAATCCTGGTCAGGCCAGGGTCAGTTGTTTCCGCTGTCTGGCGGTTGTGCGGCGTTGTTGCCACTGCGTAAGAATTGAAAATAGTAGTTCTGTATGTTCTGTGCGCGGAAGCGCCTGCAGGCCCTCGAAGTCTCCACGTTGTCGAGATGTTTGGTCTGTCGCGCCGGATCCAGAAGTGTTGGGGGCGGCGTGGGTTCGCTGGTGTTTCCTTGGACATCAAGCTGGGCGGTGTCTCTGAAGACATTTTATCGAAGGATGGCTGGTACACGTACCTGGATCGGGCAATGAGCCTGCGTCTTGGCTACTTTAAAGCTTTTTAGTGATGTTAATGCTGTCCTGCCTTCCAGCTGCATGCCATGTTCTGCCTACCTCAGTCGTGAGTCTCTGTTGTCTTGGTAGCTCTATGCTCGAGAAGGAAACCTAGTCGTCGTACTGCTAGAAGTTCAGCGTAGCTGCGCAAAGTGATGGCCAGCCAGAGTGAGACTCTGCAGTGTGTGCAGTCAAGTGACGGCAGTGACAGCGATGCCGAGAGCAAGCTGAGCGGTGTGAAGAGCGTCATATCCGTGGGGTCTTTCGAGATGGTGGAGCCCAAGCCTTCCAAGCGCGGCCGACTTGTGCCTTTTGCACAGCCTGTGCCGTCGCCTGATTGGTCGCGCCACGAGGGCTTGATTCCACATGAGCCAACAGACTCAGCAGAGGATACAGCTGCATGCGCGGACTCTCCGGAGCATCCTGGACTATCATGAGCACACCTCCCAAGCCTTTGGAGTCACCAGTGCCAGATTGGAGCCCTTGTTGGTCTGCAATGAATTCGCATGAGTCACATAGTTCGCCAAAGGATCTGAACACCATGAGCCCCGCCAAGCCCGATGATCTCTTGATTTTGAAGGTCCATAAGGTCATCAAGAATCAGAAGGCAACGCTATTTGGACTGCTAGATTCGCATGATTCGGCCGCATCACCGGCGTTTAGCTTTCGGACTCTGCCGCGCAAGCAGAGTCATTCTGAGAGGATTGAGAGGGCCTCCAGCTCGTCTGCCGCTGAATCTCAAGAGACTTTAGAGACGGAAGACTCTCCCATGTCTGCGATCAAGGTCCTGGAAGATGGCAGGGCCAAGAGATCCCACAATGAATGCAATGCCATGCCTGTCCCCGAGTCCCCTCAGAAATCCACGAAGAAGGCTAGATTCTAGATGCCGCGCAGAGGACAAGTCTGAGGCAATGGGTCCAAAGAGATGTTGAATGATTGAGAGCCATGCGCAGTTTTGAACCTAGATAATTTCAATAGCTAGTATGCGGGGGAGCAGCGGCGAAGAGGTAAAACAGAGCTGACGTCCTGCGTGCCATTGTGATAGTTGTGATCTCTGTGTTGTGAGTTCTATCCGATTGCGCGCGATTTCCCATGCAACAAGATCAACAAGCCAAGGCTACCGGGCGGGCTCCTGGCAGGGGGGCCACCTTGCTCGCTGTTTGTATGGATGAGCTCCGGGACTCATTTGCGCAGTTTGCTGGGTGTCTGGGGGGATACCCGTCTATTGTCTGTGCGAATGGGCAACAGCATTGCTCGGAATTTCGCAGCCTAGCAGCAGTGGACCAGTTGGGTGTCTGATGTGTTTGTTTGCGCGCGCATGTAGCGTATGTAGCTTCATATGCTCACAGCCGAGGTGTGTCTGATCTCTGTTCTGCTAGCCCGGAGGCGTGAGGTATTCGTGGTGATTGAACAGCCTTCCACATCATGGATGTATGAGCTTCCCTTCTTCCGGAATCTGATCATTGCCCTGGGCTTGACTACGGTGCTCACGTGGCTAGGGCTCTTTGGGCATCCGCTGTTGAAGTGCACGCACTTGCTGGGAAATCTGCCACCCTTGCATCAGCTACTTGCGCAGAAATGTTGACTGCTGTACTTGGCGTGATACTTGGCTATGGGCCTGCTGATGATCATGATGACCTGAGGCTGCAGAGAACCTTGACCATGGACCTTCGCAAGAAGCACGCGGAGAAGCAGGCGCGCCAGCAGGCCAAGGATATCGCCCGCGGGAAGGTTCTGAAGGTGTACTACAAGTGCGCGCCTCATTGTCAGCATATCTTACATGTTGGTGAAGCTGCAAGGGTTGTTCCTTATTGCATAACAGCAGCTGCGCCCAGGAAGGACAGCCAGGGGCGTGTGTCGGGCGGCAAAGACCTTGCTTCGACTGCAGCGTATCCAGCAGCGTTCTGTACGAAGCTGTTCAACGCATGGCTGCCTGAGTTTCGACGTGTGTCTTTGTCTGTACAGTCCGTACCTGCTCAGCTGAGAGATCTGAGGGCGCCGGAGGTTCCAGAGGTTGATCCATCACATCCATCAGATGCCCCAGATGCCGAGCATGTTGATTAAATCACATGCCTGACATGCCGTGCTTAGCATCCTGTGAAACAGCCCTGATGCAGCCTGCGCGACATAGGAGCGGCTGTTGCGCATGCTGGCCCATGACTGGGCTATGCAGACTTCTGTTGCAGTGTCCAAGATTGCTGTGCTCCACAGAGGGCAGAGACCTGGGATCTAAACTGCTTCCGTGAAACATGCCTCTCACTGTCTGAGCGCTGCAGATGCTATACTGTAGATACTGCAGGATCCTCCCTCCTGAATCTCCTTTGTATCCTTTGTTCCTTTTGTGCAGGTGGGTGACTCAGAGTCTGGGATGGCTCATGAATCTCCTGATGATCCTGATGAAGCTGCAGCTCTCACAGGACTGCGTTGCATGTCTTGCGTGTTAGCTTTGCCGCCTTGAACTGTCCTTGGCCTGTGTTGATTGTATTGCGACGACAGAGATGACAATCCTAGATGATTGTTGGTCAGAACAGGTGGCGGACTCCCTAGGTCCTAGGTTTAACATGTATAGCACGTACACAACTAGGGGGTAAAGCACGTACAAGCTTTTGCTTTACGGGGGTCTGGGCCCCCTTTGGCGCCCTGTACACGGCCTGTACGCCCCCGCGTGAAAAGCATTTTGCATATTTTATGTGGGGATTATGGTACCCATTATAGATCAATATAGATATTATTCTAGATATGATATATAAGGAATACAATCTTACTTGGTGCAACCACCAAAAAACATTACCCAGGTCAGGATAAAAACCAAGGCGTCAAAGGGGGTCAGGCCACCTGGATTTTACCCAGTGCCAGCGAGAAGCTGGTTAAAATCCATGGGGCCTGACCCTCACCTCCAACCTCCCAAGTTTCAGCCCTGCCCAGTCCCAGCCTCCCAGGCATACGCTCTGTCTATGCTAGTGCTTGCTCATGTAGGTGTGGAGACTGAGGTAAGGCATGCGAGAAGGCCCTGGGTGAAAAGCAGGTGGCCTGACCCTGAAGTCAGCCCCCCTGAATTTTATTGTGCTTTGGGGTCCACTAGCTTGGGTTAAATTCACAAGGCGTTGACTCCAGGGTCAGGCCACCTGCTTTTCACCCGCAGTGTTTTGGCATGCCTTACCTCAGTGTCTCTACACAGGTACCTACATGAGCACCATAGACAGAGAGTATGCCTGGGATGCTGGGACTGGGCCTGGCTGAAAGCTGGGAGGCTGGAGGCGAGGGTCAGGCCCCATGGATTTTAACCCAAGCCTGGGAAGCTCAGCGGACGGGTTTGTAACGGATGTTTGGTGCTTCAAATTTTCTCGCTCTCTGATTTCTGTGCTTTGGGGTCCACTAGCTTGGGTTAAATTCACAAGGCGTTGACCCCAGGGTCAGGCCACCTGCTTTTCACCCGCAGTGTTTTGGCATGCCTTACCTCAGTGTCTCTACACAGGTGCCTACATGAGCACCATTCATGGGGGTAGGGGCGCGTAAAATCAAACCAAACCGAGGATTTGTGGGTTTGCTTTGTTTTTAAGGCTCTGGAACCTTGCTTAAAACCAAACCAAACCCACAAATCCTAGGTTTGGTTTGATTTTACGCGCCCCGACCCCCATACTCTCTGTCTATGGTGCTCAT